GCTTGCCAGGATTTCTGCTCGGGTTGTTGTTCTTAGATCGAGTTTTAAACGAATAATACACTTTCTCGATTATCAAGATAAAAAGTGCCAGTACCATACAGCCCGCCAACATCGTCAGAGCTGGCGTTACATCGCTTAATTCGACCAAACCGTAAATTAGAGAAACTTTATTCGGATTATCTCTTATAAGAAATTTGTTTTTCAATTTGTTTATAACGCCATTAAGCTGAAATCTCCGCAAGCTGAAAAATGTGAAAAAATATTTAGAGTATTTATTCTCGAAGAAAGAAAAGCAGTCGTAAGAGTAGTTTCTATCTGAATATAATACATTTCTTGTAATTTTGTGATTTCAACGACATTAAAATTTAACAACATTCTCGCATCCTTAGATAAATGTTTATAAGACCAAATATATGAAATTTATACCTTAAAAGTAATTAAAAATTATATTTTTAAGAGATAATGCTATTTATAAAATTCATCGATTTATCATATGCATCAACAAACACTCAACTTATAAACATCAAACAATTACGTACATAGTACGATAAAGGATGACAGTTTTCCAAACAATAAATGTATATTAAATAATAAAATATATCTTTGTAAATAAATATATACATTAGGACTTACTGGTAATTCATGAGGCCAGTGTAAGGATTTTCTTTCGTTAGAGTTATCGCCAAATTGACGATTCTTCCGGTCTCAATATATACGACTTTACACGGTATAATGTTAAGCTCTTCATATACCTCAGCCGCGTAAAGCGCTAACTTGTTTCTCTCGCAGAGCTGCGTAAGAATTGATATAAAAATGAACGACTTAATGAAACTTAACGTCGTTGATTTCATTAATTAAGAAATATCGCTAACTTTCTCGAATCCCTTTGTTGTTGACAGCGGCAAATACTTCTCTTCTAACAATTCGTACATTTGCAGGAAAACGGGATCCTTGACATGCTGCAAAATTTGAGAAAGAATTATTTAAAGGAAAAGATTTTTTTTAACGCGAGCGTGAAATGGGTCGCTTTTCGCGCTTGTTTTGAGTAAGCAAAACGATCCATTTCTTCACTAGTTGAAAAATGGAGTCATTTCTCAACTAGTGGAGAAATGAAATTGTAAAACAAGCGCGAAAAGCGGCCTGTTTCACGCTCTTGTTAAGAAAAATAGTATGAACAACTCGTAAGAAGAGTGGTCGAGCCCAAATGAGTGTGATGGTCGCACTCGCTTCGCTCGTGTGACCAACTTCACACTTATTCAGAATCGACCACTTGTCCCACTAGTTGTACAATATACTATTTTTTCCAGTTAAGGTAAAGGTGCCAATACCCGGCCATATGTACCTATATCTGGACACCTTTATTATTTATATAAGTATAATATAACGAGAATTAAAATCAAAGATAAAAATATTTCTTCTTGTAGTTTGAAACTTTTGTTATAGTATCCAAACGTTTCTTTCCATAAATTGATATTTTTTTAAAGGTATCCAGACATAGGTATGTGTCCAGGTATTGATACACCTATTATGCTTTTAAGCGTCCGGGTATTGGTACCTTTACCTTATAATAGAAATATGATCTCTTCTTTACGAACTTTTGCCAGAAATACTTACATTATAAAAATACAAAAAAAATTTAAGAACAGTATATATTTCCTACAAAATTATTTCTTTAACGTTTAAAATTACGTTTTCTACAAAAAAATTACTAAACTTATATTTGTATATGTCATGCATAATATTAATTTTATAATGCTTTCAAAATTTTCTCGGCTACATGACTGTGTTTTTATTTGCGAGCGTTTTAATCGAAATTACTATGACTGACAAATTACTGTTTCGCAAGAATATAATTTCTGCGCTTTATAAGTAACGGCAAACTCACAGTAGGAACGTCGTACTCGGCGCTATTTCGCACCACAATTAATTTGTAAGACCCATCCTTAACGTAACCCTCCAGAGTGGAAAAAGGCAGTTTGGGCGTACAGAGAACTAGATTGCTGATAAACGAGGCGGAGTAAGTGGCCAAAATTACAATCGACGAAGCAGAAATCGAGAAAAAAGCCAGTCTCATCGATGACTCGCTGAGAAATTCTTTGCATAAAATATACATGTGCATTATATTATGGTGTCAAATATACATATATATGTAAAGGAAAGTCCCCTGTTATGAGATACCATATCTATTTTGCGTGATTGCCGGAAGTTTATGTGCAGAATTGAAAAATGTAGAAGGCGAGTGCACGCACGATCGAATAATGAATTTTCCACTAAACAGGTTTTACTTTAAGGGCAATAAGTTTATGATGAAACCAACAAATAGAACCCATTAGTTTAGCAGAAACACCTCGCTATCACTTATCAGAAGCCTATATCTCATAATAGGGGACTTTCCTCTATATGGCATATTGACATATTAGCATATATTGACACATATCGATGCATCACACAATTGCTTAAAACGTGACTAATAAGACGAAAATATTATGCTAGACAAATATTAAATGTCTCTAGTAAACGTTACCTGACAAACCTTGCTGACAATAAATCCCCCAAACATTAATATAGTTTTCGAACATCAAGTTTATCGAAAAGTATCCTTTTGTCTTTATGATAGTCAATAGAATAGAAGC